CCTGTAATAACTCTCCTACCCTTTCTACTTACATCAAAGTAATGTATCAACAGCCTAATGATTAAAATATAGATATAGATTTTGAGCAGTAATGGGGTTAGTGTTAGTAATACTTTTTAAAAGCTTTTTTGAATCATTTGATTAGATTCATGAGTTTAATATTACATTAAAATTTATAGGTAAATTTAAAGTATTAATTCATAAACTTTAATTACATAGATAGCTTACTTTGTATATTCTGTTTTGCCTCATGATCTTATATATAGATTAATTTAAAATACAAAATACTTCTTGAGTATCTCAAAAGCTTAAAGGTTGTTGGCATAAAATACTGTTTTACACTGATAAGGGTTGCTTTTCATATTATTTCATTAATGTTAATATTGCATCAATATTAGGTGGGGAGACTTGGTAGTTAGTTCAGGTTCGTCTCAGATAATGTCATGTGACACAAACATCTGTCATCGTCTATTGAACTTCCAAGTAGTCTGAACCAAAAATCCAGGCATGCGTTTTATCACACACAGATGTACTCCCACTTTGTTTTCTATCCTTCCTGATTTTCCCCAGTGCAACTGCATGCATGGTTTCTAATTACAGATGTGAGGTCATGGTACACATAAATTTTCTAACTTGTTCAGTCTATGTGTTCTATTGCTATTTTTACATCATTAAAAATTCTTTTATAACATCATTTTTAATGATTGGGAAATATTTTATGATGTGGATGGACTATAATTTATTTAACCAGTCTATTCTTGTTGATTTTTTCTTTTTTTAAAAAAATAAACAACAGTAGCTAAAATTTTGTATACATTCATAACCATTTCATTAGGATAAATTCCTAAAAGTGTAATTGATATGTTAAAGAGAATATAAAATCTTGACATGTTTCCTGAATGGCATTTTACGTGATCACACACTTATTGTATACAGTACCCATGCCTCTAAACCCTCAACAACAAGCTGTGTTAATATTATTATTATTTCTTTGTCCATATAATAGGAAAATGGTATTCTGTTGTTTTAATATGCAATTCTTTGGTGATCACTGAGGTTGAATATTATTTTATGCATTTCTGGCTATCTAAACACAGAGACATGGGGGCAAAGTTTTCTAAAGATTCATAAGTAACCCTGCACAAAGGACGTGAATTCTATCATCTTGACTGCGCCCAGATCCCTCACTCTAGCTGTACATAAATGACATAAAATTTATAGAAATATGATGTTCAGTCAATTCAGTGAAGGAGACAGTTCAGTCAAAAACTGATCAAATTTCCTTTAAAATAAAGAGTATTAATATTTAGTGAAAAATTGTGTCACAAGTAGACACAGATGGTTTAGATGATACCATTTTCTCTGCAAGATAGAATGTGAAATAAAATCTTATTGAAACTGCATATTTCCTTTGATGAAGTATTACATTTTGAATGTATTTAATCTGCTTAGTTTCTGTACATTTACCTTCCTTTTTAAAGGTAATTCAATTCAGAATGTGACTTGAGTTGAAAATATTTTTATCTCTCTCTGATTTTCAAAAACATATTAAATGATCATTTATGCTATGTGTGAGATGTTTCTTGAAATAGATCTGTTAAATCAAAAGACTGAAAATGTTATTGGCAGGAAATTGGACATATTAAGATTGAGTTATCCATTCCTGTGTAACAAAGTGCTCCAACCTCTAGCAGTTTAAAGCAACAAACATTCATTATCTCGCACATTTTCTAAGAATCAGGAAGCCAGAAGCTTGAGAAGGTGATCTGGCTCAGGGTTGCTCATGAGGTTGCAGGGAAGCTGCTGGTCACAGCTGCAGTTTCTGAAGACTTGCCTGGCACTGAAGGAACAGTCTTTTTTTTTTTTAAATTGAAATGTAGTTGATGTACCATATTGTGTTAGTTTCAGGTATATCACATAGTGATCTGACATTTACATATATTAGGAAATGATCACCACAATAAGACTAGGAACCATCTGTCTCCATACAACGGTATGACAATATTATTGATCATATTCGTTATGCTGTATAGTACATCCCAGTGGCTTGTGTATTGTATAACTGGAAACTTGTACCTCTTAATCCGCTTCACTTATTTTGTCCAACCTCCCACTCCCCTCCCTTCTGACAACCACCCATTTGTTCTCTGTATCTATGAGTCTGTTGAAGGATCTCTTCTAAGCTCATTCACATGAAGGTTGGCTGACCCGAGTTTCTCACCAACAGAGTCATACTGTTGCTGTGGACAGACATGGCTTCCCCCCATCGTGAGAGATCTCAGAGATAGAGTGAGGGGTGGGGAGGAGGGAAAAGAAGGAGAGTGGATGATTTATTTAGAGGGAATAGTATCAATTTAAGTAAACATTTACCCAAAGCTATTAATCATAGATTGAAATAAATGACATCTGCATTCAGTATATCAGAACCTATCAATTTCTTTTAACTGTTGGTAGCCTTGTTGTAGCACTCTGGATTACATAACCCTTTAAATGGCTAAATCTAAGTGTACTTTAAAAGAATTTCCTAATTCTTCATTTTTTTTTCCAAAAAATACTTCTCATCTTCAGTATTTTCTTGAGGATTTAAATCAAACCTTTCTGTTTATTTAAAATGAAGAAACTTAAGTATGTTATTATTTTAAAGAAATGCCTAATTATTTTATTATGTATGAATCATCTTTCCTACAATTACTTAGCTTTAATAATAGTAAAATTCCTTATACCTCTGTCTTTTTTCCTTTTATAAAGTTTCAGGTGGCTCCTTCTCCCCCAGAAGTTTAAAATAAGAATTCCTTCAATAGTGGTTCCACCTCACTTGGGACCTAAATAGGACTGATGTCATGTCATGGGTGCAAAGGATCCTGTAATGACTTTAATATACCTTATTTTCTTGTGAAATTTCTTTTCATTTTCTTAAAACAACACATAACTGATTATGTAACCTTATCTTATTCTAGGTCCCCTAAAAACCCAGAACAGAAGATTATTAAGAGAGTGATTGCTCTTGAAGGAGATATTGTAAAGTAAGTACTTAACCTTACTTTGAGTTCAGGTTATATATATCTAGATTTTTGTTGAGTTTTAAATCACGTTACATGGGAAATACATCTCAATTCTAAGAGGATCAAAGCTTTGGAGACTTTCCAAATGAACTGGTACATCTTTAGTGAGTATCATCCATCATTCCAGGATATAAGGCATACATAAACTGACTGATCATATTATTATTCTTTAACTGGGAGGCACAGGAGAAATAAATACTGATTAAACCAAAATTAACCACGTTTTCTAAAATGACCATTAAATCGTAGTTTTTCAGATATTAAAATTACCATGATTATTTTAGATAATGATGTCAAGGTTCATTTTAGAAAAATTCAAGAACATTTTATTTTAGAAGCAAATACAAAAAACGAAGGAGGAGCTTTTAATGTAATAGACATGGGGGAAGATGGAAAAGGATGTGAAACGGAAGTTTTAGTGTGTAATGTCTTAATTTATTCCACTTGTTGATTAATGTAGAGTATGTATTTGAACTTCAACAAGTAAGTACTGATGTGATATGACATGTCTCATTTTGATTGCTTACTTTATATGTTATACCCAAGTCTATACAATGTGGGATTCAACATACTTTGAAAATTATATTCAGAAAGTTTTTTGATCCTGTTTTCCCAAAAAGTTTGATCCCAGAGTATTTGTATTAATGACAGTACAATTTAAGCAATCTGATTAAAAATAAACCTCATTAAAATGACCTAGAGCAAATCTAGGCCAACAATTCTCATAGGATGGCCCAGAGACCACTGGGAGTACCCAAGACCCTTTGTAGGGGTCTGTGAGATCAAAACTACTTCCCTAATGATACTAAGATGTTTGCCTCTTTCACTCTCATTTCTCACAAGTATACAGTAGAGTTTTCTAGAGGCTACATGATGTGTGATACTGCAGAAGAGTGAAGGTGGGAATGGACATAGGAATCGGGCTGTGTTCTATTAAGCCAGATACTTAAAAAGATTGGCAAATGTGAAAAAAAAAAACAAAACAAAAAACACTCTTCTTCCTATTTTTTCTTATTTTGAAAACCAGCTATGTTTTTTATTAAACATATTGTTTTTGTTAGCATCTAGGCTTATTATTTTACGAATCACTAAAGATTTTTTTAAATTCTCCATTTTAATTTCTAATATGGTAAATATTAATACCTAGTATTCACAGAAAAAAAGTTCTTTGAGATCTCAGTTATTTTTAAGAATGGAAAGGAGTCCTCAGACCAAACAGAACTTGCTGTTATAGGAATGAATGGCAAGGAATGAATTTCATTTCTGGATTACCTGCTCATTAGTAGCCTGCATGGTATCAGTGCAGCTGTTGAAGTATGGTTTGTTGGGTTTATATTCATGAATATTTGCTTGGTCTTTTTTCCTTCTAAAATCTTTATTGAAGAATAACTTATATACTGTACAATTCACCCATTTAAAATACATAGTTCAGTAAGTTTTAATATAAATTTATACAGTTGTGCAACCCTCACCGCAATCTAGTCTTTGAACCCTTCTGTTACCTTCAAACATCCCCTCTTCGATTTGCACTTACTTTGGTTCCCACCACTCCTGGATGCCAGTGCTACACAATCATGGATCTGCTTTCTGTCTTTATAGTTTAGCCTTTTCTAGAAGTTTTATCTAGATGATTTTATACAGTATGCATTCTTTTGCATCTGGTTTCTTTCACTTAGCACAGTGTTTTTTTGGTTCTGCCATGTTGTGCGTGTATCTGCAGTTTGTTCCTGTATATTACTGATTCTATTTCATCATTTGGACCCACTACATTTTGTCTACTCATTCAGAAGTTAATAGACTTTGAGACTGTTTGGGGTATTATAAGTAATGATATGGACTTTTGTGTAAATGCTATGGACAACTGTGTCTTTGGGTGGAAATATGTTTTCATTTCTATTGGGTATATACCTAAGAGTGCTGGGTGTTATGGTAAATATATGTTTAGCTTTTAAAGGAACTACCAAACTGTTTTCAGAAGTAACTGTGCCATTTTATGTTCCCCATTGATGAAGAAGTGTTCCAGTTTCTTTATATCCTTGCCAACACTTGGCACTATGAGTATTTTTTTATAGCCATCCTAATAGTTGTGATGCAGAATTTCATTGTGGTTTTGATTCGCATTTCCCTGAAGGCTAATGATGTTGAGCATCTTTCCATACACGACTTGCCATTCATTTATCTTCTTGGGTTAAGTGTCTGGTGCATTTGCTTGTTTTGTATCGGGCTGTTTATTTTGAATTGTAAGAAGTCATTTGATTTTGAGTGCTTAAATAAATAGAATAATAATTTTGGGGAGGATGAATATGTGTATATAATAATGTGATTTTAGTCAAGTGTAAGTATATTGATATGAAAAAAGTTAATTTTCATTTCTTGTAAGATAGGGTTTGTAAATTCACAGAACTTGGTGACTTTGTTTTATTTTCAAATCTGTCTACTCTTGTGATTTTAGTAGGAAACTGGGAAGAGCAGTATCGTTGAATACAACTTGCATACAATATCCATGAATATAAAAAAATACTTTTAATAAATGGGCAGATGACCTAAATAGACGTTTCTCCAAAGGAGACATTCAGATGGCCACAGGCACATGAAAAGATGCTCAGCATTGCTAATTATAAGAGAAATGGAAATGAAAACTACAATGAGATATCACCTCACCCAGTCAGAATGGCCATCATTAAAAAGTGCAAATAATAAATGCTGGAGAGGGTGTGGAGAAAAAAGAACCCTCTTACATTGTTGGTGGGAATGTAAATTGATACAACCACTATAGAGGACAGTATGGAGTTTCCTTAAAAAACTATAAAAAGACTTTACCAGATGATCCAGCAATCCCATTCCTGGCATATATCTAGAGAAAACTATAATTCTAAAAGCACCACACATGCACCCCAGTGTTCATAGAAGCAGTATTTACAATAGCCCGGACACAGAAATGGAAACAACCTAAATGTCCAGTGACAGATGACTAGATAAAGAAGATGCGGTTTTTATGTATACAGTGGAATATTGCTTAGCCATAAAAAATAATGGAATAATGCCATTTCCAGCAACATGGATAGACCTAGAGATTATCATATTAAGTGAAGTCAGAGAAAGGCAAATATCATATGATATCACTTATATATGAAATGTAAAAATAAATGATACAAATCTTATTTACAAACCAAAAATAGACTCACGGACATAGAAAACAAACTATGGTTACCAAAGGGGAAAGGGTGGGGGAGATAAGTCAAGAATTTGGGATTAACAAATATACATTATTCTATGTAAAACAGATAAACAACAAGAATGTACTGTATAGCACAGGGAACTACATTCAATGTCTTGTAATAATACATAATGGAAAGAATGTAAAAAAAAATTTATGTATAACTGAATCACTTTGCTGTACACCTGAAAATAACACTGTAAATCAAACACACTTCAATAGAAAACAAAATTTTAAAAAAAGACAATGGAAAAACTATGCTTTTAACATTGGAGAACAGCTTGTGGGTTAGGATGCAAACCTCATTCAAGGAATGGAGCGGCAAACCTTGAAAACATCATGCTGAATGAAAGAAGCCAGCCACAGAAGACCACATACTATATGATTCTTTCAGTTTGAAATATTTCAAATAGGCAAATTCATCAAGACAGGAAGTAGATTGATGCTTCCCAGCAGCATAGAGGAGGGGAAATGAGAGATACTATTAATGGGTACAGTGTCTTTTTTTAAAGAGTTACCAGAATGTTTCAGAATAGATTGTGGTAATACTTGCACAACTCTACGAATATATTAAAAACAATGAGTTCTACCTTTTAAATGGATAAATGGTATGTTCTAGAAATTACATCTCAATAAAGCTATTAAAAATCCCAAACAAAAGAATTAATCAACAAAGCAGGCACAAATTTCATCTGTGTAATGTAACCTAACAGGATTAGGAATGCCAAGGGATCCATTTTACATTATAATCCAAAGAGAGCGCAGCTTTAATTCAAATGCATTATTATTGTTCACTAGCTGACTAGTCAACAGTGTGAGACTGCAAAGCTTGGTCAGGCATAAAAGACTGCAATCAGAAATCCTACAGCAGACTTCTCTGAGAAAAAGTCTTGGTTGTTGCTTTGCTCTGTGAGTGTAAATATTGGGTTCACAGAACAGAGGCTGAGGTAGAAAGAGGATTAATTGTGCGGCGTTGATGGATGAGAGGAGGGAATAAGGGAATGTAGTAGTTTTACACCTTCTTTCCCTACTGCTGCAACCCACATTTGCAAGGTCTATCTTCTGTGTTCCATCCTGCAAACTGACACTTCAGTCCTACGTCCTCTCTGTCCCCCTTCACTATGCCTCTATCATGGAGCAGTGAATAATATAAAGAATGGAAGTATCAAGGCTCAAGACTTTTCCACTGTGTGAGCTCCAAAACTAGGTAATAATTGATTTAAAAAATCATTTTTGTGTTTGGTGTTCTAAAAGAAAATTTTAAATTTCATTCCTCTGAAACTTTGGTACCAAAAATATCCTAGCCTTCCTGAGCTTTAAATTGATAATGGAATATACTCCTACAATAATTTTCTAACAGTGTTGAAAAACATTAAGGAACATTTAGGGACTAAAATATTATTTACTCATGTGCTTCTTTTCTCTGTGACTCATTTTCTTCTAAATGTGAGAATATGTAAAATTTTTGTTTTTAACATACTGTCTACCACTTGAAGTCATTAGTCACTTGGGGTCTTAACTTATAGTAGGCAAGGTGCTTTGTTCTGTGATATGGACTTTCCACCTTTATCTTAGATAATACTGGGTTACCTAATAGGCAAGCTAAGCACAAATGTAGGTCTCTAGAAGAAAATGTTTTTGAAAAAAATTGTTATTTCATTAAATAACCAAAGGGAAAAAAAAATCTGACTTATCAGGATTTGGTTACACGTACTGTGGGTTGTATAGTATTTTTATTTTGAAT